TCAACACATCGCTCACACCTCTGCCGCAAGCCGGGAGGGAGCTGGGAGGTCCCGCGGGCTTTCCCCTGCCGGCTGGCGGGGGGCGGGGACCACCAGTTATTCGGAGAACTCTGGTTCTTTTCCTCTCAACTGAGCTGAGAAACTGCGGGGGGTTGGGGGGGGGGCGAAAGAGAGGGAGAAAGTCACACTTAACTTTTTTTTTTCCTTTTTAAAGGCCTTGTGCATGCTGTCATCGTGGAGTGCTGGAAGTGGAGAGGAGGTTTTGTGGGTTTTCCCCCCCTCCTATTTATCTGCGGAGATGCCACTTGTCACCTCCCATCCTCATTTTGCTTATCTGTAAAATGGAGGCAAAAAAAAAAAATCCCCCTTGAAGAGTTGCTGTCAGTTTTAAGGGTGGGAAAGTGCTGGCAGTACTTGGTAAGCCTCCTGCTTTTGTTCGTGTGAACTTTTCTTCAGCGTTACCTTGCGTGGAGACCACTGGTAATGCAGGCCAATCTGCCCCCAGATCGCTGCTGCTGGTGGAGATGCCACTGTTTTCGTGCATAGGTTCGTGCAAGGGGCTGCAACCGGCCAGTTTACTCCAGCATAGCCCCAATATCGGGGGCTTGGCTCGAATGCCACCACACCTCCCGAGAAATTGGCTCCCTTGTTAGAAGAAGCCACAGCAGGCTCTTGTGTCTCCAGACCACCTGTCCTCCAACACTCGCCTCTCCAGCCAGATTCCCGCGCTGTCCAGCGCCGGCGCCTGAGCTCCCGAGTGGCTGCTGCGGGAATTAGTTCCCTTGACCTTTCCACTTTTCGGCTTCGGATTGTGCTTCCTCGCTCTCTGCACCCGGAATGGGGAAATGGGAAGGAAGGATATTTTTAGAGAAGAACACTAAGGGAAGAAGGAGGAGGAGCAAGAATAAGCGGTGGAGGACGAGGAGAAAGACTTTGTGGAGTTTTGAAGTGTTGGGTACAGCTGATCTGGGTCCTTCGACCCATTTTGGGTAAATTCATGGCACTGGCCGGATTGGCTTGGGCACATGGGTTCTACCATGCCATAGCTTATCTGTAGCTTCCTCCTTCACTACGTAAAAACAAAACCAGAAGCGAGTCTACTTCTCACCCAACCGTCCTAAAGCAAAGTCCTAAAGGGGAATGTTAGGTGTAGATGGCAGAGTCCTACTGAGATATTTGTCGTGCCTTCATGAATAGTTTCCCCCCCCCTCCCGCCCTCTCTGGGGAATCTGTATTTATAGAACATACAGATCTAGCTTCCGGAAGAAAAAAGCCAAAGTTGCAATTTGGAGTGGGAATTAATGAAATTGGATATTTTTAAAAATCATTCACGAATTGTAGATTAAATATTCTCAGCAGGACTTGAGATAGTGAGTAAAGTCATTTATTTTTAGACAGCAAAGAATCTAGTTTTTTTTTTTTTAACCCATTGAAAAATTCTCATCCAAAGAGAGGACACGGGGGCCACCACTTATTTCACTTACCAACCCAGACCGGCTTTCCTGGTGGATCGAATTCCCAGGTACTAGTCCAGTTTGGGGCTTAGGCAGCGTAGACCCAGACGCCACCCAGTGTGACTGAAATCCTGGAGGTGAGGATCATGAGGTGGGGGAATTCGACATATCTGAGTTCTCTCCAGAGCCCTGCCGGAGGAGACACTGTCTCCAGAGCAATTTTTAAGGAAAATTTCCAAAGCGCGTTGAGGAAGAGCAGAGACGCTGCTCCCAGGAAGCCCGGACCGGACAATAATGGACAAATGGGTCTTAAAACCAATTAGGTGGTGACCGGAAGCACCGTATTGAGGTGCCCATGTGAAACATGGACAAGGAAAAAACTCCGGGGGTGTATTTGGAAAGGTGAACAAAGAAGGGGACAAGATAAAGGGCGGATTACAAGTTTGCGTAATAGATTGTCATGAAGAATCGTGATCCTGCATCTTGGATTTTTCTTGACCCCGGCGAGAGACGGAACGGAGCTCGCCAGCCCAAGGCTGAGAGGCGCGCGCGGGCTCGGCGTCGCGGCAGGGCCAGGCTTCCCCGGGCCGCAGCTGCTCCAGCCGGACCCCGCGCGGCCCGGGGCGGATTTTGTGTTTCAGGTTTGAAAAAGGAGGGTTATTCGGCGGTAGCCGCAGGCAGCAGTAAGAGACGCAGCTCTCGGGCTCAACCAACGCCACCCACTCCAGTGATAATCCACACTCCTTCGGCGCGGGTGGCCAACTCAGCAGCCACCCCTCCCCAAAACCCCTACAAACATAATTAAACGCAACTCGGGAAGCGCCACCCGGCTGCACTTAACAATCCTCCACGCTAACCCCCACCCCACCCCTGACACTCCGTCCCCGCCGCCCTCGCCAGGCAACTTCGTCCTGCCCCAGAGAGAATTTCCGTATTCCGGACTAGCCACCCGCAGGACCTCTAGCATCACTTCAGCCATCGGTTCCCTGTACCTAGAGCAGCCACCGGGAGGGCGCCCTTAGAGCAATCGGCCAAGAGCGGTGTGCCCCACCAGGTCAAAGTTTCCGGACCACAGTTCCCATAAACTACCTCCCAGCGGGGCACTACGGTCCCTGAACTTGTCACTGGGGGCGGAGGAAGGGGGCGCCCCCCCCCCCCGCGAAGTCTGATCTGGGGACTGCAGCAGGGAGCTGGGAGAAAGGAGCAATTCATTCGCTTCCTAAGGGACATAATTTGGGTGGCAGCTGTTTACTGGTGAGAAAAGTCGGCGTTCCCGACCTTGGCTGTGCCCTTTAACCCAAGCCAACCTGAGCCTTAGGGGCAGAGTGACCGGGCCAGGCTCTGGCCCACTGCTGACTGGCGGCCCCTCGGGGTACTCTCCGCATCTTTTCCTAGCAGCGTCGAAGTGCAGGCAATAAATGGTTCCTTGGGAAAAAAGATCACCAGGCTCATCGCACATTTTGGAGGGCTCACAGACTGATCCACACTTTCCGCGGAGAAACGAGAAAGCTTGGCCCTGCTGGGAGCAGACCCCAAACAAGGAAGAGAATGGGGTGGTGGTGGAAAAATTTACAAAAAGAGCGAGCGGGAGTAGAAATTCTGGTAGTTATTTTTTGCAGGGGTTGAAATTATCCACAGAGGCTGCATGTAACAGAAAATTGCCAAGTTGAAAAACAGGGGTAGTAGATTTCATTCTTTGCAAATTTCTTGCCCACCTATCCTCTTCTTTCTCTGAACAACTCCTGGCTTGGATTTTTACCACCTTCTATTTTCTGACACTTCCTTCATGGCTCCTCTCACTCTTCTTCGTCCAACAGGGAATAGCCAGCTAAAGCCCCGGAGCTTCAGAGCCCCATTCAATACAACCCAGAGGCTAGGATTTCACCTTTTCTCTCCTCCCACAAATCAATGCTTGAGTCCTTTGACCCTGGGTCTGTGAAGAGTATTCGTCCGCTTTCTAGCGAATTTCTCTAGTACAGATCAGCAGAGCGCGATCTTGCCTGTACAGTCTGGGGTTGTAGTTTGCCCCAGGGGTGATGTAGAGGCGCACCGATCCCTTTCTTAGGAAAGCCTCATTCTCTGAAAGCGCAAGCTTCCTATCCACGCAGGCAAAGGAGTTGCGAGGAGCTGTGTCCTCTAGCGGCAAACCCTCGCAGTTCATTTGTGAGCGCTCACCTACACCTAAGGGATCTGGTCCGGAGTCAATTGATGCGCAAAACTAAGTCCTAAGTATGTGTGGGGTGGGGAGGAGAGTCTCCTGAATGTAATCCAGGCTTTCGTAAATGCCCTGTGCGTAATGAGGCCGGGAGACTCGGGTGCAGTCGTTCGAACTGTGGAACAGCTGATTGTCTCCTCCACGGCAGATGGTCTTTGAGCACAGATTTGCATTCATTGTCTTCAAATCTGTTTTCGCGCTGGTGTTCTAGATTTCAGCAGCAGATCTATGCACAGATCAGAATACAAAAGGAGAAGCAAGAAAATAACACCCAGCCAGGAGGATTTTTAATAGGCACCGCGAGTTGCATGGCGTAGTTACAAAGCCGTCTAGGGTTTCAGCTGTTTGGCGGAGCTGCTGCCGCCTCTCGGCCACTAGCCCGCGGGCCAGCACCGTGGCCACCGCGCTCGGTACGCAAAGTTTCCGTGACTCCCGGGTTGCCCCCCTGAGGCTCCCGGCAGCTTCGGGAACTAGGGAGAGAGAAGAGGGTTCCCGGGATACACCCCGGCAGCTCTCGCATTAAGCCTGCCACGATCTGTCAGCAACTTCTCATCTGCACTGGTGCGACGCCCGTTCGCGCTCGCCCGGGTATATTTTTCTTAGCTCCTCTACGTTTTCCCCGTCATTATTTATTTGAACAGCACTTGAGCCTCGCTCGTCCACACCCCACTCCCGACTTTCATTAAATATCCTTTTTTCCCCCCTAACATCTTGCAAACCGTACACAAAATCTGAGTGTCACCATGGAATCCCAGGAGACTTGGGAGAGCCATTCAGGGAGCTGGGTGCTCTGGGGAACGTTTGCACAAAACAAAAGTACATGTGGTCACACTCTCCGCTTTTTCGCAAACATGCACACAGATCCAAACCCCGAAAATTAACATGCCTCCTGGCAGGCTACAAAAACCTACATCTAGAGGCAAATTCACAAAGGTTTCCCCGCTCCCGTGGCCAGGCGGAGCCAGCGCGTCCCTAGGCCGTAGGACCCAGCTATCCTGCGTCAGTGCAGGGTTTGGGGGCCCCCCATCCGGCTCACGCCACGCGCGCAGGGTTCGGGCGAGGACTCGGTGCCCACAGCTTTCTGTCCCCTTTCACCTCCCGGACTCCAGGCAACGCAGAGCGTGGTGCGCGCCGCCGGAGGACGTCGGCCTGGCTTGCCCGGCGCCGGCCAATCCCGAGCGTCCATGCAAATGAGGCTCCTTATTGGGCCGCGGCTCCGCCTCCGGCGGCCCGGGCAGTAGTAACCCATTCATGGGGCCGGCGCGCGGATGCAGCCCGGCTCAGCGGCTCTCGCAGCCACCGCCTCCTCTCGGCTCTGGGTCTTCCCCTTCCTTTTAAAACTGATCCTGTTGGGGATTTTTTTTTTTTTTTCTAAATTGGAACCGTGGGGAGGAGCAGGGAGGGAGGACCTGGAGGAAGCAGAGAGATTAGGCAGCTATCAATCTCCTCCTGTTTCTCCCAGAACAGGTGATGCTTCTAAATTGTGACCACTTTGTGGAGGCAGCTCTGCAGTTGGAAGGATGCGAGCGACCTAGGGTGGAGGGCCTGAAGCGGCAGATCTGAACTTGCAGAGGATAAAAACCCAAACTTTTGACTACATCATTCCGCACCTCGCGCGTGAAGCAAAGGACTTTTTTTTTTTTTTTTTTCAAGACAGACCCAAACTTCTGCACTTGATCCCCCTTTCTTGGATTGCGTTGGAGGAGACGGTTTGCTTGCAGCGTTGAGAACGGTCAGGACTGTGTTTTTATAAACTCATTTTTAAAGCGACAGTAAAGGATCAGACTTTTTAAATGTTTGGGATTCAAGATACTTTAGGAAGAGGACCAGCTCTGAAAGAGAAATCGCTGGGCGCGGAGATGGATTCGGTCAGGTCTTGGGTCCGGAATGTCGGTGTGGTGGACGCCAATGTCGCGGCTCAGAGGTAAGGAGACGACTGCACAATTATTATGCTCTCAAAGTCTCTTGCTCTAGGTGTCTCTCAATGTGCCCCCTCCCCTGCTCCGCATCTCTTTCCTTTTCTCCGTACCCCCATCTGTCGTTCTGGCCCCGTACGCTGGCGCTTTCCCTGCGGTGAGCAAGTTGCTGCAGTCAGGGGGACACTTACCCGGCAGCCAACACTGGAGTTTCTGAACTGCCTGGCCCATTTGTGCGTCTCCCCCACTCCTTTCCCACAGTCCACTCTCTGAGACAAAATACAAAATAAAAATAAAGTAGCATCCAATGCCTCGCATCTCGGCTCCCATTTCTGCCGAGCGCGTGAGGACCGGAGCCTGCTGTCACCACCGCGAGAGCAGAGACGACTTCCTGGCCTCTACCAGGTTTCCCCCACGCCGCCTGCGAGCGCCTCTTCTCCCGCATCTCGGTGGTTCCGGGAGAACCGGAGCCCAGCGACCAGATGGTGGCGGCGGCGGCGGCGGAGGTGGAGAGAGGACGCTGCCGCTGCCCGGGAAGGCGAAGCGGCCGGGAGCTCTGGGAGGGGGGGCAGGCAAGAGGGTCGCGGCTCAGAGAGTGTTCCAGATGCACGGAGTCGGGGAGAGAAGAAATTAAAAGAGAAAAGATGAAGGAATAGCAGTAGAAGGAGTCGCGGAAGAATTAAAAGGAAAGGAAAGAGGATCCGCCGCCAGAAAGCTGCAGGGATCTTCGGCTTCCAGCTTTGCCCGACGCTGAAGTTGACTTGTTTCTGAGCGCCCGCAAGCTGGGAGAGTCAACGCCGTGTCGCAGTGTCACCCCACGAACACCTTCCAGGCTTTCTGCCTCGTCACCACTTCTGAGCTGGGATTTGAGACCTTCAGGTCCCTGTCTGAGAAAGGCAACCTTCCTGTTCCCAAAGCGCCCACGAACTTCTTCCACAACTTTCGTTCGTCAACCCGCATCTGCGCTCCGGGCCTTCCTCCTTTAAGTCCTGACATCCCATGGAGAAATTATCCCTTTCCCAGACAGGCTACGTCTCCAGGTGTCCCGGGTAGAGCGAACCCGGCCACACTCTTGGAGGAGAGAAAGCAGAAGTCGCATCGCTTCGGGACGGGGGCCGGCAGCGATGCCCGCCTGTCCGCCTGACCGCCCGCTGGAAGCCAGGACGCGCCAGCGTCCCTGGGGCAGACCGCACACCGCGGCGGCAGCGACTTTCCGCAGCGGTCTGGGGACTCCCGGGCTTCGAGCCGAGGGAAGGAAGGCAGCACCGCAGAGCCGGCTCTGCCGCGCATTTTCTGAGCCCGGCTGGGGAAGATGCCTTCCTCCCTGTCCTTCCTTTCCGGAATCAAATAGTTTGTTAAAGTTGGAACAGGCGGCCTGAGTTGGGGAAATTCTAGCCAAAATGTTACACCCTTCAAAAGAGTGAAAGTGCTTGCGCCTGGGACAGGAGGCCCAGAGACCTCAGCGCCGCGGGGCAGCTCCCGCCATCTGTGCGCTCACCCGCCCCAACTTTTTTAGTTAAAAATGGGTCTGGTGGCCAGTTTAGCACTGGCCCTGACAGATAGACAGGGAGATGTGTGTACACATTCGAGGCGCTCCGAGGATGCCTTCTGAGTCCCCCGACTTGGATTTCACGGTCTGTGGCTTTGGCTGGCGCCACCGGGAAACGCAGCTTGTATCCGGATGGCCTAGGTCTCGGGCGAGGATGCTCTCTGCCTCTTAACAATCTGGCTTCTCCACTCGCAGTAACCCAAGGGGCTAAGGTGTCCAATATAGCGACCTCCGCAGTGATCCGCGACCCGCAGTGCTGGTCGCGGGGATTCCGCGGTGCGACTGTTTGAGATGCAACTTTTCGGAAGAGCGAGGGAAGCAGAGGGGTGAGGCCTGTAGGAACTAGACCTGGGCTCTGGGCTTTCTACCCGCACTTCAGGGTACTCATCCACAGCCTTGTCTCGTGAGGGCAAGTAATTCGGATAAAGATGAAGTAAAGGAGCCACTTCTTCAGCTGCAAAGAAGATGCTTAGTTCCCTTAACCCCCGGGCCTCAGCTTCGCGATCTGATCCAGCTGCTGGGGCCGCCTTGAGGGTGGCGTGGGGGACAGTCTGGACCTCTTGTGGCAGCCAAAGTCTTTCGATTTCCACTGAAGGCCCAACAGTGAACAGCCTGGTAGTGGGACCTTGGGAGGTTGGACCACTGGGCGGTGGAAGCAGCCCCAGATATGGTACTGCCGTTTGACCTCATGGCCACTACTCCTCTAAGGAGTTTTTACTTCTTAATCAGAATTGATAAAAGACCTGACAGGTCCAGGAATCTGGACCTGGGATGTGGTCCCTTGCCTATCCGCTGCGGCGTTGCTTGGGCACATTAGTAACGGCTTGTCTTTTCTCTTTCTCTGTCCGGTGTCCCACCTGTCTCTTCCTGCGCAGTGGGGTCGCCCTGTCCCGTGCCCACTTTGAGAAGCAGCCTCCCTCTAACTTGAGGAAATCCAACTTCTTTCATTTCGTCCTGGCGCTCTACGACAGGCAGGGGCAGCCGGTGGAGATAGAGCGTACGGCTTTCGTGGACTTTGTGGAGAACGACAAAGTAAGAGGACCCCTGCCCCCGCCCCCTCCAATGACTCCCTCCTTGCAGAGCTCTAAAGATTCCATCTGTCACTTGCGACACTTTTCCGCTCGCATCATCAAGGATGATAAATCGAGGCTTCTCACCCCCAGCCACTAAATCAGTAGATTTCCCCGCACCTCCTCCTGCCCCTACTCCTGCACCCTGCGGGGTGTAGAGCGCTGGCGGCTGGGTGTGCTGAACCTAGGGGTCCTTAGTAGCGCGGGATTGTAGAATGACCACCGAGCGAAAGCCCTTTGGACTAGACCATGGTTAAAAAGTATACAAGGCTGCTGCTGCCCTCCTCTGGGTTATTCTCATTATTTTCACCTGCCAGGTCGACCAGGGTGGGTTGAATCAGTTCTATGGTGGAAACTCACAGCCCAGCCTTGACCCATCTCCCAGGCACGGAAGCTTTCTCTTCCACTCCCCAAGGCAGCACCTTGTTTGAACTCAAGTCCGGATTTGGGGACTGGATTTGATCTCAAATAGAGGTCAGTCAACCTAAACTGATATGTGACCAGAAGGAGATCTCTTGCCCTCTTTGGGCCTCAGTTTCCTCAGCTGTGCCACCTGAACTATAAAGTTAAGTTCCCACTTGAACCTGGGAATCAGTTGGTCCCTGAGCTCTGGGCCTTGGTGCTGAGGTTTCAGGGGAGTAGGGCCTATTTCTGCCCTTTTAAATGACAGGTCGCTTCACCCTTCTGCAGAGAGAAGCCTCAGGGCTTCCTAAGGACAGATAGACCAGATGGGTTGGTGGGGCCTTCCTAAAGACAGCCTTGCTGTGGTGTTGGGTTATCTCCCCTGCCGCTTGGCAAGCCTTGGAGATAGTCAGCGGTAGGCAGGGGCTCTTGCCCTTTGACCCAGGGCTGGACAAGAGAGTTGTTCAAAGTGGTGGGAGGTGGTATAAGGAAGCACTCTTTCCTGTTTCCCTCATTTGGGGGGACTGAAATACCTGGGAATCGAATGCCTTCCATCTTTTCAGGAACAAGGCAATGAGAAGACCAACAATGGCACCCACTACAAGTTACAGCTCCTGTACAGCAATGGTGAGCATCCTATCAGCTGGCACCTGGTAGCCAGCAGAGTACCTAGCACATCTCGATTTCCTGGAAGGCATTGCCTAGATGATTGGCAGACAGATTTGGGAGCATAAGGCTGTGGGAGGTTTGCTTGGGGCTGGGGATTAGAGGTCTTTGCCTCCTGGACAGCTCAGCCTGGGCTTCCACCCCAGGGCAGGGAAGGGTTTGGGTGTGGGAGAGTGGGCTCTGCAGTCCTTGATTCCTGCTGGTCTCCCCCTTCCTGTAGGTGTCCGCACGGAGCAGGACCTCTATGTCAGGCTCATCGACTCAGTGACCAAGCAGGTGAGCCCAATGGGCCACTTGGCTCCTATTCATCTGTCTCTGGCCCCCAACTCCCCAGCTTATCTCTGACTTCTACCCTCCTGCATGATTTCTTGGGTCAAACTTCTAACTTCCTTCCATACCACCTTGTCTACTCTGGGAACACTTCTTTCCCCCTCTCTCTCCAATGTCTTGTGTCTATCTGGTTTTGGAGATGCTGGGGGCAGGGGAGGAGAGCAAAGGGATAAAGAGAGGACACAATTGGGAGATTCAGACCCCCAAACATTCCTTTTTGCAAAGAACTATGGGGCACACTTTTGTTATTTCTTCAGCTGAGGTAACAGGTAACTTCTCAGGTTCCCCTTTAGGCAGAAACTGCTAATGGGGTAGCAGGTAGTGAGAGGGTGAGAATTTTGTTCTTGTTCTAAAGTCCCCTCTTTGTTTGTATTTCTACCCGGCTGGCTACATGTCTTCCCTTCCTGTCCCTGCACAATTCTCAGCCTATAGCTTACGAGGGACAGAATAAGAATCCGGAGATGTGCCGAGTTCTTCTGACACACGAGGTGATGTGCAGGTAAGAGCCACCTTCTCCTCGGGGCTGGACTAGACAGACGGCTAACATGCCTGGCTCCCTGGCTTCCCGGACTAAATTGCGGGAGCGAAGGCTCCCGGTGGACGTGCCCGGGGCAGATTCTCTAGGACCCTCATCCCTTTTAAGGTCAGTTTTTGAGAGGAAAGCAAACCAGAAGATTCACGGTTCCAAATCCCTGGTGTTGCCGGAGTTTCCCAGGCCCAGTGGAAAGTCTCGCTGTCCACCTTAGGCAGGACCGTTGCCGAAGGAGATGGGCTGCCCAAGCGGGGTTTGTGATGGACTTTGGGGATTAGGACTTTCCCTGAACTTCTCTGCTGGAGGCCGGCTCTGCTGGATACCCGCCTTGCCCGCTGGGGTGGATTTCCAGGCGGAGCCACTTGTGGAGTTACTGAGTCTAAACCCTGGAAAATCGCAGTCTGGGCTCGGGAACCATCAGAGTGCTGAGCCTCCCATTCCCCAGCTATTTCCCTGCACCTAGGCATGTGCGCCAAAGTGGCTTTCTTTCCTTGCATGAAGTCGCTTCTCCATCACTTCTCTTTGAAGGTGTTTCTTAGGTCAGGAGGAGCTTAGAAAGACTGGTCCTGGTTCCCACCTGTGATTTGAGAGTCCCCCACCGCTGGGATGTCTGGGGTCTAGAGCAACCTAGGATCCTGAGATCACTTTGAGAAAGGCACACCGTCTGCTTGGGTTCCTACAATTTTCCCACCTACCTTTCAGAGACCGATATATTCCATTTTGAATCCTGCACATTTTTTTTAAATTAGAAGAATAAAATTCATCCACACGCTCAACCATTCTACAAATGTTTTTTGAATCTTTTTTTTTTTTTTTTGCCTAGTGTTTGCAGGTGTATTGGGCTAGATGTTGAGGATCCCACTGCAAATAGAAAGGATATACAAAGGAAATTCTGGGAAGAACATGGTTATTTTATTTAAAAAATTTAGAACTCTATTCTTTACAGCATTTTCTCCCCTCCAAAATCTGATTGGAGGGAAAACCTCCATTCTCCCCCCTCAGCCTGCTCTTGCAGTAAATGGTTCCTACCTCCAGACTTGCTAGGTTTGGGCAATCACAGGCCATCTGATTTAGTATGGACTATTTTATGGGCAGCTCCCTGAAGCCCCATCTCCCTCCTCAACCCAGTCAGAGAGAAATCATAACAATTGGACATGTTTGTTTTGGTTTTGACCAAGTATTAGAAAAACAAATTTGTTAAATACAAAGTTTGACTCTGTCTGATCTGAGGGGGACTGAGGTTCCCTTACTGAATTGCTTGGTGAAGAGTTGGGTGATGAAGTAAGAAGATAGATATTCCATTATCCCAGGGCCCCTTCATAAATTTGTTCAGAAAGAAAATACAACTTCAAGATGTACTTGTATGCAATACTTTAATAGGCAGAATGCTATAATTTGGTTGGCAAGTCAAAGAGGATTTTTATTCTTCTCTACACTTTTAAATGTCTTTGTCTGGAGTGAGATAACCTTAAAAGAAAAGAAAACAAAACCACCAAACTAACCCGTTGCCTAATGAATTATACCTATCCCTTTCTATAATACTCGCACCCCCCCTCCAGCTGTAGTGGAGGCTGACATTTTTATTTTTAAGCCCAATCAAATCCTCCTCATTTTATGCTGTTTAAGTAGCAGCATCAATTTTTAAAGCCTCTGGTTTAGTCTGCATTAGTAACACAATATAAAAATTTAATGTACTGTAACTTCTCTGCATTGGAGACCGGGAGGGTGCTCTGCTATTTTCTTCCCAAACTAGAATTTAAAACAAATATTAATTATGGACAAATAGATGATCCATTGGATGGGTCCTGTCTTGTGTGTGTGTGTGTGTGTGTGTGTGTGTGTGTGTGTCTGTGTTGGGCAAAGGTAAGTGAAGGCAAGTATTAGATGTATCTGAAAGGGAAGCTTTCTTTCAATCTGTCAGTTAGAGCTAGCTGATTCTCAGGTATGGGAGCAAGTTCCTTCTCCCAACAGTTTACCAGCTGGTTACAGCAGTCAACACTGGGGAGATGGATCAGATATCCTTGTTTCTCAATGATTATTGCACATACTTCATTTCATTTGCCCCATGTTATGCTGCATACCTGGGCACTTGCTGGAATGATTTTATGTCCCATAATCCTATAATCTTTAGTAAAATGTTTCTAAATTGGTGTTTAACTTTATTATTATTATTATTATTATTATTATTATTTAGGAGGAACAAGCAAAGGGACAAAAATAAATCTGTTTAGGAATAACTTCTTCCTCCCCCTTCTCTGCTTTGCTTTTAGTTCATTTTGCCAATTATTAGCAAGGAGAAATCTAGTTGTTATGCTGCTGCCAGCCACCCCTGTGCCCTCAATGCTCAGAGGGTTAAAAGATATTATAATTTGAACAGAAGTCGTCTCAAGGCCTACAGCTGGCTAATAACAGAGTTGTATTGAGCGCTAGCAAACCCCACAGCTGTGACTTTTCGCCACAAGGCGCAGGCTAGACAGGGCCCTAATCAGATGGGCCAGCCGGGCAGTGGGGCCAGTGTCTTTATCGGCCAGATGGTGTGAATTTAGACACTTTTGTTATGCAATCGCAGGGAGGAGTTGGGGAGAAGAAAACAAAACAAAAGCCACCATGCTGTGCGCTTATTTGAGTTTGAAATTAGAGACAGATTTTTGAAAGTTGAGGGTTGAATTTTAAAAAACGATTTTGGAGGGGAGAGGGATGTGTTAGCTTATCAAGAGCCATAGGGCTGACTGGACACCCTCTGTCCAGGGTTGGGGTGCTTCTTATTTTCTTCCTTAGACATTTTTTTAAAAAAAAAATCTTTTTCTTTTTTCTCTTTCTGAAAAATGCAGGTGAGATTCGGGTTCATGATGATTTTTTTTTTCATATTCTCCCACCTCCCACCCCCCAGCTTGACTTATTCTTCCTCTTAACCTCTTCAAAGACACCATGTGGAGATGGGGAGGAGGAAAAGGGCCTGTAAGCAAATTGAGAGTGTTTCAAGTAGAAGGGTCTCCAAATGAGTACTAGAATAAAATAAAACAAAACAAGCCAGACAGAGACACAGAGAACCAGCTTTCATTTCATTCATTAGCAAAGAGGAGCCCCCCAACCCCTCTGGGGTAGTTCGAAACACAATTGCAACCTATCGCCAAGTTCAGTTTCCTCTTCTCTGCTTGCTTCCTTCCTTTATTTATTTATTTATTCGTTCATTTTCCTATTTTACAGTCATTGTCAGTGAAAGGAAACACTTCTCCGGAACCTTAGTGACTTGAAGGTTGGAAATGAACCTTAAGAGCCCTTTAACTCAAAGAGCTGAGCCCAAAGTTGACTGTTCTGGCTATGCCTCTAGAGCAAAGGGAAGGCAGGGTTGAGTTTGTCATCTAGGTTAATTCAGGGACCCCAGATCCACATTGTTTGCAGAGTGTGGTTTCCTAAACATCATGGGTTCTCCTTGTCTCTCTGCTTGTGTTATTAATAATGCTGACCTGAGAACCGCATGTCACTTAAGGAACAAAATAAAGAACAAGTAAAACATATTAATGAGAACTTTTCTTAAAGAGAAAAGGGCTTTGCTTTGACTAACTTAGAAGTTTTAAGAGGGGATCAAATAGGGCAAATATAACAGATCCTATTACTTTTGTACTTTTTTTTGGTGTCGTTCTGGGGATCGGGTATTTTTATGCTTTTACTATCATTGTAGTTCAATAGCCAAGTAACCATCTGTGTCATCTTTTTCTGTGCTACATATTAACATTAGCGATTATATTTAAATATGTTACTGTTGGAAAATAGAGGATGGGGTCCTCAAGTTTCCCTGCGTTCTCCCTTTGCGTATCATTTACTTCCCTGAGTTGGTTCTCCACTTTGTATTTCGCTGGCACCAGGGTTACATTTTTATCTGTTTTTCTTTTCCGCCAGAGGAAATCCCCATGGAAAGCAGCTGAATTCAGCTGAGCAATTTTGCAAACTTACTTGGCCTCCTCAGAATCATTCCTGCCCAAACCGAACAGACTGGCACATTCTGACAGTGTGTGCTCGTGTAATTAAATTGTACCCGCATTGCACACATATTTGGGGTTAGGTTGACAAGCTGGTGATGTCAAAGGAGAGTCTGGCTTGAAGGCCTTTCGGTAACTAGCATGTATGGGTCTTTTGAAATTGTGTTGCTAGAAAAGTGGTTTGCCTTGAGCTGCTAAGGTATACACTGACATAAGCAATGCTCCAGGATCCCGAGAGGTGGGAGCCGGAAATGGGTGGGGGTTGGGAGGAGAGACAAGGGCTCTGGGGGGTAGGAGTGCAGCTGGCTAGCATTTTTATTGGTGTTAATCTTGGGATAGATTGAAATTTTAAAAGTTAAGACCTAATATAATTTCAAAGGCCAAATATTATTTCAGAAAGTCCCAATGGCAAACTCTGGTATTTAGGAAAGTCGAGACAAATTTTCTTTTACTTTCTACTAATTTGATTAAATTTCTTAAAACCTCATTGAGCCCATTTGCTGGAAATGTTTTGGCTTCCTTCAGGTGTGTTTTACTTTCTAAAGGTGGTAGAATTGTTCACTAACTAAATCACGCATCCCTGAATGAGAAAGATGTTCTTGAAAAGTTTTGAAATATTGATTTGTTTGTTTATGTTTGATTCTGTGGAGGATCAGAGAGGCTGGAAGTCCCAAAGAGAGCCACAAAGCAAATCGGTGACTGGCCTGGGGCTGGCCTTTGGGTCCTGGCTGCCATAGGGCTCCCCATTTTTCCTTACCCCATCGGTTTCCAAGGGTGCTCAAGGAATTCCATAGCCTCCTACATGTAAAGCTAGAAGGGACTCTAGAGATAACCTAATCCAACATTTTCATTTTCTTTCTTCATAAGCTCAGAGGGATTAGAGATCTGACTAAATTCATGCAACTGGTTAGTGAGGAGTTAGATGCCAGAGCTCTGATTCCCTGGTCAGCAATTTTTCTACAGCACTACACAACCCTAAGCTACAGAGGATCCAGCCTGGGAAAGGCAGCAGTCATGGGTACCTGGGTTATTATTAATTTTAGACGTATTCTCCACCTGATTTGGGTGACCATGGTTTTCTTGTAAGCCACATTGAGGTTCCACCCTAAATCAACTACAGTTGATAGTGGATAATGCATCTGAAATGAGCCAATAGGTATTCTAAGGTCTGAGGCCCTAATAAGCTATAGTTGCAGGTGGGCAGTGTGGCGTTCATTCCTTTCTCAGATTTGTCTCTGTATTTTGAGCAGATACTTTGGATTGGAGAATTTTGCTCTCTCTCAGGTCCTTTTGGATTCTTTCTTCTGTTCTAACTGGTTTAGGGGATCCTCTTCTGTCTTCCTCTCTCAATATTGATGGATTACCCAGGTCCCCAGCACTTTGCAAGGGGGAAGTGTTGGGAAATCGTTTTTAGGATGGGACTGACATCTGGTCAAGTTCCATTTCTGTTCTGGTAAAAATTATTGGAGAGACTGTACCCCGGCTCCCTGCCTCATTTTCTTCTAATGTAGAAATGTCCACCAGAGTTCTGCTCTTCTTCCTTTGTCTTTGGGAAATGATGGAAATGAATGAATGAATAAATTGTTCACAAAGCACACCAACTTCTCCAGAGAAAGGTGTTATATCAGTAAGATTTATGATCATCCAAACAGCAACTCATGGTCTATTTTTTTGGTGGGTGTGTGATACTGGAAACCAAACTTAGGGTCTCAAATATGCTAGGCAAGTGCTCTACTTCTGAGCTAATCCCCAGCCCTGCTTGGGGTTTATTTAATACATTTTTCTTCTGCTTTCTCCAAATATTTATTGGGATAAAAAAGAACTAATATATGCAATCATAAAATCATTGAACACCAGCCTGGAAGAGACCTTGGAGAACTTAAAATCCAACCATCCGTGGTTCAGTTACAAATACAGCTCTTGGGAAAGTTGTGATTTGTGGCGGATTAGCCAGCTCGTAAGTCCCAGAGTGAGAATATGTGAATGATCGTATTTTGAATATGTTTTTGGCTTCAGGTCCAGGTTCAAGTTTTTCCTTTCTTTCTTTTTCTTTTTTTTTTTTTTTTAAATAAGACATGGTCACCTTGGACACGTTCATTTTTTGTGAACATTCTCACCTTTGTATGCTCAATGAACTATTTTTAAAAATATATAACAAGATTCTTTTACTCTCTTGCTTTCCTCCCCATCTACAGTCGATGTTGTGAAAAGAAAAGCTGTGGAAACCGAAACGAGACTCCTTCAGACCCTGTCATCATCGACAGGTAGGGGAACACCGGACTTGTAGATCATATTTGGTTTCTTGCCTTCACGAGTCTCGACCCTGAGTACCGACCACTTGTGCTGTCCTGGAAGGCTGTGTTCATGTTCTCTCCAAGGCATTTAGTTGGTACAATAGCAAGGGTGTCCTCTTGCTGGTTGGCTTCCTCCGGAAGGAGTCTTGACCTTCCTTTTAGAACACACATCTCTAAATCTCCGCCGGATTCTTTTCCAGGTGCAGTGACTTCAGCCTAACAAGGAGTGTATATGGTAAAGGAGGGGACAGGCTATCATCTGTACTGGCAGGGTATGGCCTCTGTCTGTTTTCTAGAAGAGGCAGTGCACCCCATGTTAAGTGGCATCCTTTTCCATGCTTAGTGACCGTGGAGCTTGAAGCCCAGGCATTTAGACTTCAGTGTAGGGGCTTATGACAAGTTCTCTCTTGCACTGAGGAAGATTCTCTTCCACCACAGAGGACCACGTTCTGGGGTCTCTGACATATCAGAGTGGGAAAGATTCTTTGGGACAAGATGCAAATTCACTGAGATGTGATTTAGGCATCCTCAGCTGTCTGTTTTTGTGATTGGAAACAGAACTCACAAACCAACGAAAAAAAAAATACCAAATTAACTTCCAGCAATCATGTAATTTTTAAGAAACCCCATATTCCCACCCCTAATTTTTTCTCTTTCGTTAAAAAACGGAATAATTCCCCATTGCTTCTTTCTCTGGGTTTTCATGTTTCTAGCCAGGTCCTGAAATGGATTGGAGAGACCACAGTCTCCAAAGTTGTTATTCCAATATTCCAATGAATTCTCAGTTGGGAGAATGGAACCTCTGGCGTTCTTCCCAGAAAGCCAGCTTGGTTTCCTCGTGGAAAGTATAGCATAGCTGTAGGAATTGAGGAAGCCGGGATTCTGGTCCTGTCCTAGCTTCTGACCTTGGACAAAACCCTCAGCATCTCTGTTCTGCAGCAGTGTATGTAGTGACAGGCCCAAGGGTGCTGCTGGGAGGTGACCAAAATCTCAATGGCAGCTTTGCAGTGGTCGCTGATGCCTGAAAGAGGACAATAGGCAAATAGAAACTGTCGGATATGTATGGAGCTTTTGCCATTTGATGGAGCCGACTGGGGTTTCCTTGAGTATTTCTGGAAGCGCAGACAAGCTTAAGTATACAGACTTATAAGGACTGTTTGGGGTCATTGGTCTTTTACTTAATAGTTGAAAAAACTGAGCCCAAGAGTGGTGGCACGACTTGCCCGCAGCAGCACAGCTGGTGGAGCAGAGCCGACACGAGAACACAGCTGTGTTTACTGCTGGGCTCGTGACCCTCCATGGCCACAGCCTCCTCCTCGCTCCCTGTCCTGCCTGATGAGTTGGATCTGCTGATAGCACATTGCATCGTTTTCTACTTCCCAGGATGTCCTTGGGATCCTCCGGGGGAGCTGGAGGGCGGCTGGAGGCTGGCCCTTTCCTTTCCAGCATGTAGAGTGAGCTTGTGGCTCTTCATCTCGTCTTCCCCACTCCCTCTGGCACCTCTTTCAAGACGGTGCCCTAACCTCATGACTGTTACATCTTTTCTTATAATAAACACCCCATAAACCAGTTTTAGAAGTGTTTGCAAACCTGTAAGTGCTAGCCCGCACCTTACATCTTCCGAGCACACAGCCTAATGATCTGTACTGAGCAGCAGGTCTTTAAAGAACTACATGTCACCTGTGCCCATGGAGACAGCTGGACATGCTTATATTTTCCTCTGAGGCGATACACATGTTACACGCACCCAAGAAAGCGGTTCTTTGCATCTATGGAGAGAAAAGATTTCATAGTAGGTGCTTTTATAGTGTGTGCTGGAATGCCTTCAATTCATCCAACAAGGTGGAAACTGTATCTTGGCTGTGTTCTGGAGTTTCATGTGACTGTGGCATTTATTTTTTACTGTTCTATGTACAATAAAACTACCCAGTGATGCCTCTGCATCACTTGAAATATGTGTTACTTCCGAAATGTTACCCGTCTGCATGTGGAACGTACCTACCAAGGGATACCATAAACTGGCCAGGATTGAATTTTAAGAGAACTCATTTTATTATAAACCACACATTTGTTCACCTTCCTTATTGTCAGGCTTTTGTGTGGAGATATTGTTCCCTGACCACAGCCTTGTCTCATTGCTCCCGGATGTCTCTTTGGCATGCCTTCGCCTTCTCGCCTTCATTTTCAGAAGCAAAGGGGCAGGAAGTCAGGTTTCTGTTTGTGGGAGGGACGCCTCCATCACCCAGGGGTTTGGCTGATCTGTTCTTCTGGTCCCTGGGTTCAACATCTGCCACACGATCCCTCACGGAGCACCAAATGGGTGCAAAGTAGTCTATTTCAGATTTCCTCTGAGTAAATATAGAACGCTCTTCTTTGCCCTCGTTCCTATAATGTCAACTAATTATCTCCTCCCCCTTCTCACCCCACCTCACCAGATGCAGTTAATTTACACCGTCTCTCTTCGAGTCTCCTCACTTAACAGGCTTGCTCCATTCTGGCTCAAGGGAAGCCCGTCTATTCCCTTGGAATTGTGCATGTCTGTGGAGGAGGAGGGGAGACTCAGGGGTGCTTCCCAAACTTTTCACCCTAAGGATCCTTTTATTTCTGCCTTCGTGAACGTAGGGTCTTGCAAGATTTTGCCTTTCAAACTGCAATGGATGAATGTTAATGAGATATAATTCCCTTTTTAAAAAATTAATTAAAGACATATAACAAAATGGGAGGGGGGAAAATCTCATCTCAGGTATGTCATTGACATTATCGATGGCCAGTCAGAATTTGATCAGAATGACAAAACCGGCATGGCCACAGCCACATGAGAGACCTCAGTTTCAACACAGTCACATGACTTTTCAAGGAACCTGTATGACCATGTCTCTGCAGGTATCCAGGTTCCAATAGGCTGCATGAAACATTAAAGATAGCTTTTACCACCTTGTGGCACCTTGGTTGACAACCATGGATGTTTACTATAGGGGACTGACCTTCAGAGACAGAGTTCTTCATGTCCCAAGACCTAGCCCCAAACTTGGAGTGTTTTTATTTTCCTCCTGCTAAATGACACCTTGCCTGATTGCATGCTTTTGTCTCTTGGGCAAATCCATCCCTCTGCAATAGGCCAGGCCATGACAGAGCCCAGCAGCAATCCACAGTCCCCAGCAGTAGCCCCCTTCTATGTGAAACTGTGGGAAGGGGGCAGAGGTAGGGCTTGTTAATTTTTTGGGGAAAAAAAAATCAAAAGTTCCTATCTAGGAAAAAAATGCAAGGCAGATCGTGATGAAACAAACAGAAAAACCAACAAAACCTTGCATGGTCTTCTGCCTAATCTTGTCTATTAGACCTGTGAGGTGAATGGAAATGAAAAGGCTCACACTGATTTCCACTATGGTTTCAGAGGGGAGCTTGAACTCAAGTTGTCATGGGCTGAACTTTATTCATGTACAACTTTTTTATTTTAGTTTTACTTTATTGCAATGCTGGGGATTGAACTCAGGGCCTCATACATGCTAGGCAAGCACTCTACCCTTGAGCTGTACCCCAGCACCTGAGCTTTCTGCAGACTCTCTTCTCTGTTGGGTTGCTTCTTCTGAATGTCCATTGGGTTTCTGGTTCTCAGGATAACCTGGTGGTTCATAGAAAGGGGATTTTTTTTTTGATAATTTTTTATTGATTTTTTTTAAAAAATAAATGACAATGGAATGCATTATAATTCTTATTACACGTATACAGCACAATTTTTCATATCTCTGGTTGTATATAAAGTATGTTGACAGCAATTTGTGTCTTTATACATGTACTTTGGATAGCAATGTCTACTATATTCCACCATCCTTGCTGATCCCCTGTCCCCTCCCTTTCCCTCCCACCCCTCTTCCCTATCTAGAATTCATCTATTCCTCCCTTGCTCCCCCTCCCTACCCCACTATGAGTCAATCTCCTTATATCAGAGAAAACATTCAGCATTTGTGTTTTTGGGGACTGGCTAACTTCACTTGACATTATCTTCTCCAACGCCATCCATTTACCTGCAAGTGCCATGATTTTATTCTCTTTTATTGCTGAGTAAAATTCCATTGTGTATATATGCCACATTTTTTTTAATCCATTCACCCACTGAAGGGCATCTAGGTTGGTTCCACAGTTTAGCTATTGTGACTTGTGGTGCTATAAACATTGATGTGGCTGTGTCCCAGTATGCCATTTTTAAGTCTTTTGGGTATAGACTGAGGAGAGGGATAGCTGGGTCAAATGGTGGTTCCATACCCAGATAGAAAGGGGATTATAAGGAGTCTCTGGCATGAGAGAAGAAGAAGGGTCACTATTATTCTGTCCTTCCAAAAGCCCCATAAAAGTCAGATGGTACAGAAGGCAAGATTTCCTCTTGGATCTTTGCGGGATGCCCCTGCCCATGGGAATCCTGGTAGGGCATTTTCCATAAAGTGGGCAGGCCCAATCTGTTTCTCACATGCCAAGTACCCCAGTCTTTGCCTTGGGACGTTTGTCTCATATATTTCTGATTTCTTTTCCTGGGAGAACCATATTTAGTGTTGATGTGTTTTGCTTATTTTCTTTTGCAAGAAGCCAAATGAACAACAGAGTGATCCTTGTTCAAAAGGTTTTCTCAAAAATATCTGGAGTTTAATTGCCCATAACTTTTCCTGACTATTTCTTCCTTTAATTGTTAATTTTTAAAAATTCTAGTAAATATGCATAACATCATTTTACCATCTTACTTATTTTTAAGTTTCATGTTAAGTTATATTCACATTGTTGTGCCTTGGTTACTACCATTCATTCATAGAACTCTTTATCTTGCAAAATGGAAACTACTACCCATTAAGCAACTCCGAATTACCTCCTTCCCACAGCCCCTGGCATCTGCCATTCTGTCTCTGAATCACATGTTAAGTGGCATTATATACTCTGTCCTTTTGTGACTGGCTTATTTCACTGAGGGTAATATCCTCAAA